CCCCCCCCCCCCCCGTTTTTCAACTCATGTCCACTCAACACATGATCTAGTGCTTGGTAAGATTGACTGCCGCTTCTAAAAGTGAGGACACGGGGTTCTACCCGCAGATATTTTGTGGACCAGATACGATTTGAAATGGCACAAGTGCTGCAGCAACTGGCATCCATTCTGCAAGTACTACTCGTGGGGATGGTGCTGCTCAAAAATATGGCTTGTACTGTCACAAACGGTATCATCAAATCTCTCTTACCACTTCTTAGTGGACCTCTCATCAGTACCATGGCCACGCACATCGCAGGGCCTCCGCCACTCGCATGGCTGAAACCCAATCGCGGCCGTGCACATACCTCGGAATCGGTCAGGAAAGCATGTGCGAAGAGCAAGTTCCATGACAAACAGCATGAATGGCAATACAATCCCATTACTACAACTTGCTCCCCATGTTCACTTTCCACCCATGCTGTTGAGGGCTCAGGGTTGAGGGTTAGGGTTTACGATTTACCGTCAATTGGGAATTTCCAGAAGTAGGGGGTCCTTTTTGCGGGCCCCTAACCCGAAACCCTATCAGGAACTATGATGTCTTGGGGTCTATTGGAAACCCTAAACCCTAAACCCCTATGTCTCGAGAGCTCCAAGTTTCACAAAGCCTGGAAGCGCTCAGAATTATGGCAGCCACGGTCAATATTATCCCCCTGAAGTAGATAGAATATGGAGTTATATTATAGGGATAGTGGAAAAAATGGAAACTGCTATTTAGGGTTTAGGGTTTAGGGTTTAGGGTAGAGTCCCGCTTAAGTAGATAGAATCTGGGGTATATGGGGATCTCATCATAACATACCGAAAGCCATATTCTATCTACTTAAGGGGGACCGTAGGCTTACCAAGGGACCATGCAGGGTGGACATAGGGGTCCCTCTTGTAGCTTAGCATGGTCCCTAATATATTCCGGATCTCCCCCCCTCCAAAGGCCCTGTTTCCTTTCCAGACGCACGCAGAAGAATGGCCTGAATTTCCCTAAAACCTTAACCCTAAACCAGTTTAAGCTTTAGGTTTTAGACGTCCGATTTCCGTGAAGCATTGAAATCTGTCGAGCTGGGTACTCCACCACTCTAGAAGAGGCGGCTTAAGATAATTTTTTCTCCTTCAATATCAGATTCCTTAAGGTGCCAAGCTGTGTCTATCAATGGTGCTTTCGGACTCAGGCTTCAGTGGATTGATCAGAGACCCTAAACCTTTAAAATACAAGCACAACATGGCGGTGGTGCACATTCAGCTCTATAGCCTGGATTCCTCCTGTGCTAACCCCCCCCGTTTATTAGGGTTATCTAGAAATAATGGAATAATTAAGGCTGACTCAGGGGGATCTGATTATCATTTTGAAGGCATTTCATATTCTATTTGATTACGGGGACTAATATATCATCTAGCTGCTTCTCCCTGCCTACAACTCTGAAAACCCTTATCTATTCCCAGCTCCAGTTTATTCTCCATTACTGTTTGGGGAATTTTTCCACCCTGAATCCTAAATCCTGCTATATCCCCATAGATCCCCTAGAAATGGTCGGCAGGGTCACATGTCGATGGCTTCCTTGGGCTTGTTCGCCTTGATGAACTCCTCTTCCGCCAGCTTAAACCTCAGCACTTTTTCGGGCAACTTGGTAGCAAGGCTCTAGGAGGATCGAAACCCTAAACCCTAAACCCTGAACCCTAAACCAAAATTCGGGAACTTCGAGCGTCTTCTAGACTTTGCAGAGGATTCTGTAGGAATGAGACTAGCAAAGCAAGTAATTTGGAAGGTATGCTCTGGAATCAGTTTCCCAATTCCTCGACCATGGTAGTTTCCCTAAATAGGGGGACCCAATATAGACCCCTGAAATACTATAATCCTTATTAGGGGGACCCCCAACAAAATACCCTAATTTTGGGAAACTCCCTAAACCCTAAACTCTAAACCCTATATTCATCCCCCATATAACGCCTATATCTCAATTTAACGGTACCCTAAGTTTGGGAAACCCTCATATCTCTCGCAAAAGCTATGCCCATGGCATGCCATACCCTTGGGGACTCATCCTTGGGTACTGCCCCCGGCCCCTTAAGAGTCTATAATAGGGGTTGTTTAGGGGCAGGACCCAAGTTCACCCTAAACTCCAAGGCCAACTACCACGCGGCTACTGGCTCTTAGAACGCTGCTGCTCATCATCCTCCAATGCCAACGCCTGAAGCAAGGGCATCGAACATTGCAGGAAGTCAGACTTTATTCTACTGGTATGACTTATGATGATGGTTGATGATTGAAACCCTATGTACGATATCCCATGTAAAGTTCCAGTTTCCGTTTCATTGTCGATTTCCTTTTCCATTTGCTTTAGCAATCCCGAAACCCTAAACGCTTGAGCCTAGACTGTTGTACTTGATTGTGGCAGCGCACTTTAAGTTCCTTACATCCCGAGTGAGTGTCATGTTTCCTGTCCCCGCTGATGCTCTATTTTCTACTATTGTAATATCCCTAAACCCTATCCAACCCGATGCAGGCCTATATAGTCCTATCTATATACTCCTATATGCTCCCATATAACCCTATATAGTCTCAACACCCTAACCCCAAACTCCAAACTAAATCCCAAACCCCACAACCCTAAACACTATAACCCTGTAACCCTATAACCCTAAACCCTATAACCCTAAACCCTAGAACCCTAAACCCTAGAACCTTAAACCCTATAACCCTAAACCCTATAGCCTTAAAAACCAAAAACCCTCTAACCTGAAAACCCTATAACCCTATAGCCCTTGCGCCTATAGCCCTTGCGCCTTCTTGAGATGGATGTCTGGAAGCTTATGCTTGGCCGAGTGATTCGCCAGCTCAAAGGCGTGTTGGAAGTTGCTGTGCTCCACTGCATAGTCGATGGCCTACAGACCAAGATTTAGGGTATAGGATTAAGGTCTAGGGTTAGGGGTTTAGGACTTAGGGCTTAGGATTCGGAGCGATGTAGGATGCAGGGTTTAGGATTTAGGGCTGAAGTTGTGGACATGCCAACAGGCAACCGAAGAAATGCTAGTTATGCTAGCTAACATGAACACTGTTTGCGGCAGCGATACTAGTAAGAAGTCCAAACCTTCAAGCCTAAACCCTAAACCCTAAACACCCGCCAGTCAACAGCAGAGAGATGCAGAGAGTAACTTTCTCTCATGGATGCAGATGCACCCGCCCGTGTGCGCCAGTCTCAACGGCACGTGCACGTGCAACACTGGTGAGACTACCAGAAAGCCTACAATAATGATGTCAACGTTGACATCAATAATCCCAAGCAGTGTCTGCATGGTATGAGGTAGCTGAGTAAGGGACAATCTCGATGAGGCCGTGCTTGGCAAGTAGCTGTGCCCCAGCCTGCACCCAGCTTTTCAACATGGGTTGATTTTGATGGTCAATCATGTAGACCCCTGATTAATGAACCCCCTCCCCTCAGTAGGGGTTATAATAGGGATCTTAAAATTAAGGCCCTCAATAGGAGAGGGTATATTAATCATGGGTCTACACTACTGAGGATCCTGGTTTTGTGTCGAAGTGAAGGTTTCTCCACAGTTGGGGCGATTTCAGGATCCCAGGGGTACATCAGGATGACACACGCACTCTAGAGATCTGTACAAAGGATTGTACGGGGAATATTTTGAGAAGCTCCCCGATCAAAGAGCTCCCAATCAAGGATTGTGTTCTAGCATCAACGTATGTAGAGACACAGGCCAAACTGCACTTGAGTAGCGTTTTGTTCGTAGTTGAACCCAGGCAAGTTCTACTCCTTATATAGAGCACAAAACCCAAAAATGGAGGAGCTAATCTTACTCTGTATTGGATACCATAGTATTATTCTCGGGCATCAGTCAGTCATTCTGGCTTCGCGTTGAGCATCTTGGATACCTAGGTTGAATGCCATTCACATGAGCTATAGTCTAAACTCCTGGTATCCCCCTTAGAGCCCTATAGTAGTTCCCTATAGCAATCCCCTATATAACCCTAAACCCTAAACCCTAAACCCTGAACGCTAAACCCTAAACCCTAAACCCTAGGCCTCGGCTCCATGTTCCTTGAAGGTCGCCTGCCATGTCCAACTGACAGATGTGTGATCTCTGGACGCATTCGCAACTGTTTAGGGTTTAGGGTTTAGGGTTAACTGAAACCTACAGTCTAAACTCATATACTACCCGCTATTGGGAAGTCTAGTAACCGGTATCGCCAAATACCTTAATGTAGACCCCTGATTAATAAACCCACTCTTTTTAAGGGCCTTAACATTAGGATCCCCATTATAATCCCTATTGAGGGGGTTTATTAATCAGGGGTCTACACTATTGGGCACCCTCATGTGGGATATCACATCTCTCTAGTAACCCTAAACCCTAAACCCTAAACCCCCTAAACCCTAAACCCCCATACCCAAAAACCCTAAACCCTAAACCCTGAACCACATTTTTCATGATCGAAGTCAGGGGACCCTTCAGCGCAAGCACAGGCCGGAGCGGCATGAGCTTGTGCCAGGACGACTTTCTCAAAGGACTGCTTGCCGCCATGCATCTGGCGCGGTTTAGGGTTTAGAGTTTAGAGTTTAGGGTTTAGGGTTTAGGGTCTAGGGTTTAGGGTTTAGAGTTTGAGTTTGGGCTTTAGGGTCTAGGGTTTAGGGTGAAAACCAAGGCAACAAGCAGTACACTCCCCCAAGCCTAACACGGGAGCGCAAAAGGGGCGCTATAAAGAGAAGTGTCCTTTTCAAAACGTCCCCACATCACCAGAGTCTACACTCCTAGCATCCCCCGCAATCACCCCTTCAAATACCCCCCTACACCCTAAACCCCTACACAATCCCCTGTATATTCCCCTTTGAGGAACTTAGACCATGGCTCATATCAGCTTTCATGTTTGGGGCGGGTAGCAAGGCGGTTTAGGGTTTAGGATCCAGGGTTTAGGGTTTAGGGCAAGCGCAGCATTCTATATAATGGAGGTGAACCCACGGAGCCAGCCAGTGATGCCTCAAGCTTGAATGGAACAGCAGTATTGTAATAATGATAATCATAATGGCAAACTTAATCATAGCAATAATAGCAATCATAATGATAACAATGGTAGCAAGAGTAATAAAAATGATAATACTAATGATAATACTAATATTAACAATAATAATAACAAAAATATTTATACTAACAATAACTGTGACAATACTAATAGAACAACAGTAAGGCAACTACACTTCCTGGTTGTCGGTAGGGAATGGAGCATAGACCATTACCACCGACCAGTTGATTGGATCCTCCCTTGCATTCCTTCCTTCCCTACTTTTGAGGGACCCTGGAGTTAGGTAGCATGCTATTATCCCAGTATAACCTCACTGTCCTAAACCTTTAAACCCTAAACCCTAAACCTAGACTGCAGGGTACCACAAAGTACTAACAAGAAGGAGAGAGTCCGGTCTGGCTTGGGCGTCCTCTAAACCCTAGACCCTAAACTTTAGGGTTTAGGGTTTAGGGTTGAGGGTTGAGGGTTTAGGGTTTAGGGCATAGGGTCTAGGGTATAGGGTTTACCTGACGGGTTCACTTCCAATGGCGGGTTTTGGGCTTGCAGGATGCAAGGTGGACTGTGGAGGCAAAGTTTGGCGATTTGTACCCCTTCCTTTTCGTCATGGTTTTGGTGGTGGTTTGGGGGTGGGGGGGATGATTACGTCCTATGTGTTTCTTTATCAAATTATGTTTTCTTCATTGCAGTCTTCGTCACGCAGCAC